ATGAGCGAGGATGAAAAGGGTTGGACAAAAAGAATGGAACGCATGGGGAGGAGGAGGAGGAGGAGGAACACCAGTTAAAACCAGAGAGTCATCAACAATGTTGGAGTAAACCCTCCCTCCAAACTCCCTCTTCATAGGCCCATACAGGAATTCATTTCCACAGGGAACTGCCTTGTTGCAAGACAGCCGTTGAAAAGCCCTGAAGCCTGCCAAAATATGGTTGTCGGAATTTCAACGCCACGGATCAAACTGACTGTTGCGCCTTGACAACCTTGAATCGTGCCAAAACACTGCACTTGGGACTTCAACACCGCGAATCAACGTATGTAAGTGTTGCACCATCATAATCCTGAATCCTTCCAAGCGGAAATTCCTGGCACGCTGATCATGGGAATCCGTGGAACTCTTGCAAAGCTTACAAACGAATGTACGAGGCGCTAAGGCGAGAACCACATTTTGAAAACCAGCTGGGCCTGTACCTGTAAAGCGATTGGAGCTTGGTACCACTTTGCCCTCAGGGCTCACAGAAGGAGCGTATAGCCCCAAACGCTGGGGATGGGGGCCAACAAGCGATTCGTGGCGCTTCTTTGGTGGGGGAAGCGAGGGCCACGACGCACCACCGATCTGAGAGGGCATGAATTTACACTGACCAGCTTCTGGCTGCGGGGAGGGAAAACAAGCGCGGGGGGGAGGCAGGCGAGAGAGGAGAGGTTCCCACGAGCTCCTGGCAGGCCCGAGCTACGAATTTTGAATTCTGGCGAAGATATGAGCTCAATCTCTCTCCCGCGTCGACACCGCCCAGATGTACAGGGCGCCGGGATGCACGAGCGAGATCTCCGTAGAGGATCGGGACGTCATGAGTCTGAGAAAACCATTGAAAAAAGGGACTCGAAGGGCAACGAAAAAGACCAGCAGCTGCGGAATAACGCAAAGGAAGGGTTGGTTGTTAACACTGCAGCCCATGGAGATGACCAAACGACCAAATCCCTCCACCGTACCAGTACCCACCCCCATGGGACATGGGACATGGGACATGGGAAATTCACCCATTCAGATCGTCAGCGCCAGCGCTGCAGCTTATCGAAGATGGCCACCCAAATTCACGGCGGCAGCACAAGCCTAAAAATGAGGAGCATGCTCGCGCCATACACGGCACACGTAGTGCACATTGTCGCTCAACAATCACTTGCGCCCCTTACAGCGAACAGGCACCACAACTTGTGATTGTGCCGCCATCCCCGATGCAACATGCAGCGATACTGTACCCTGCTCCACGAGAGTCGAGGGCCTTTCGCTGTGTGTACGAATCATGAAGCGCGGACGTGCGCTGAGCCGAACTACGTGCTGCTCTTCTCGCACTCGTCCAGGAGCTTCTGAGCTGCTCGCTCCAGGTGGGCCCCGAGGGGCGGGCCCCATCTTCACCACTCCGTTGGCCCATCATCATCATCATCATCATCATCATCATCATCATCATCATCATCATCATCATCATCATCATCATCATCATCATCATCACCATCACCATCATTGTCGTAATCAGCAGCAGCAGCATCATCATCAGCATCAGCATCACCATCATCATCATCATCATCATCATCATCATCATCATCATCAGCCCTCCCTTGTTCCCGCCCGTAGACGGTGGCTCCGTGCACATTGGCAAACCCCCACGCGGCAAAGGCGTGCGCAACGTGCCAGCGGCACTCGAGGAAACGCAGGCGACCATGAGGTGGTACGGCCGATGTGTCGCCTTGCTCCTCTCTGTGCCCCTCTTGTCCGATCTGCTGCGTTGAGTGTGTGCGTTTGTGTGTGCGTGTATGTGCGTGTGTGTGCGAGTGTGTATGTGTGTATGTGTGTGTGCGTGTTTGTGTGTGTGCGTGTGTGTGTGTGTGTTTGTGTGTGCGTGCGTGCGTACGTGCGTGCGCGTGTGTGTGTGTGTGTGTGTCTGTCTGTGTGTGTGCGTGCGTGCGTGGGTGCGTGCGTGTGTGCGTGCGTGCGTGCGTGCGAGTGTGGGTGCGTGTGTGCGTGTGTGCGTGCGTACTTGCGTGCGTGCCTGCGAGCGTGCGTGCATGCGTGCTCGTGTGTCTGTGTGTGTGTGCGTGTGTGTGTGTGTGTGTGTGTGTGTGTGCGTGCGTGCGTGCGTGTGTGTGTGTGTGCGTGGGTGCGTGTGTGTGTGTGTGTGTGTGTGTGCGTGCGTGCGTGCGTGCGTGCGTGCGTGCGTGCGTGCGTGCGTGTGTGTGTGTGCGTACGTGCGCGCGTGTCCCTCCTTTCCATCGTTTTGTCGCTCGCCCCCCGCCCTCTTCTCCATGACTTGGGCGTCCAGCGGGGCGCCCTCAACCCATGGGGGGGTCCGCGGGGGACCGCGCAGCGCCCAAGCAGCGGCGGCGACAGCACGGCCGCGCAGTCCGAGGCAATCCCGCACCGGACTCGATGGCCCCCAGCTGGCGTGTTCCTTTCGTCCTCCCTTCTTCCCTCCCTCCCTCCGCCCTCATGACCCCCCTTCCGTCCTTCCTCCTCCCTCCTGCCCCTCATCTTCTTCCCTCATCGCTTCTCCTGAGACAACTTCTCCATGTAGCACCCACTGGCGTGTTGGCAGGGCGGGGCGGGCGTTTCGCCTGAGACTTCCTCACCACCTATGGTCCTGAAACATACAAAGTAGCACCATCTTCAAAATTTGAGGGCGGGTAATTTTCAACATGTGGCTTTCGCCTCAGCGCCGTGCACGTTCGTCTTAACAGTCTGCAGCCGTTCAAAGGGTTGAGGGCGGCTCATTTTTCAAAATGTAGATCTCGCTGTAGCGCCGCGCGCAGTCGTCGTGAAAATGTGAAACATTTTTGAGACGTCGTGTGGTTGAAGTCCCAGGAGTTGTGTTCTTGCACGGCTTAGGAATAACAGGGCGCAACAGTCGAAATTGAATTCCTACGGATTGTGTTCTGGCACGGCTTAGGATTGCCAGGACGCCACGGACACGTTGATTTGCGGCATGAAGTCCCAAGAAGGGTGTTTTGGCACGACTGAGAATTCTCGAATGGTTGCCTTACAATGGGGCACTTTCCGCAATGAGTAAGAATTCTTACAGGGACATCTGAGAGGGAACCTGGAGGGAGGGTATCTTGCGACATCGCTGGTGCGAACTGGGTTTGCACTGGTCCTTCTCCGCCTCCTTCTCGGCATCCTCCTCCGCCTCCTTCTCGGCATCCTCCTCCGCCTCCTCCTACTCCTACTCCTCCTCCTCCTCCTCCTCCTCCTCCTCCTCCTCCTCCTCCTCCTCCTCCTCCTCCTCCTCCTCCTCCTCCTCCTCCTCCTCCTCCTCCTCCTCCTCCTCCTCCTCCTCCTCCTCCTTCTACTCCTCCTCCTCCTCCTCTTCCCCCTCCTCCGCCTCCTCCTCGTCTCTCCGTGCTGTCCCCCCCCATTCCCCTCGTGGAGGAGACGGGAGCGGGAGGGCGCGGCGCCTCCCCTGGCTTCAGGGGATCGGCCCACAGCAGGTTGAACAGCACGTGGTCCGAGAATTCCACGCGCCAGGGCGGGGTGGGGTCCGGGGGCGCTGGCGAGGCGGAGGCCTCACCGCAAGGCGCGACGCGGGGTCAGCTTCGCGCCCCTGCGCGCCGCCCCGTGGAGGCCAGCTCGGCGGCCCAGGCTGCGGCGCACAGAGCGCGGTCATCTTTGCGCCCCTTGTGGCGGCCTGGTCCATGGCACGCGCAGGAGGACTGGAACGGAGAGGAGGGCACCGTAGGGAGGTACGGGGAGGAGGAGGGGGAGGAGGAGGAGAAGGAGGAGGAGGAGGAGGAGGGAGGAGGAGGAGGAGGCGGAGGGAGGAGGAGGCGGAGGTGGAGGATGAGGGAGGGGAAGGGAGGAGGATGAGGAGGATGATGAGGAGGATGATGAGGAGGATGAGGAGGAGTGGGAGACAAGAGAAGACGGATGAGATGGAGGAACAGGTGGTCAGAGTAACCCCAGGCAGTATACATCAACGATGCTGCAGGACAACCTCTCGTTCAAAGTCCCTCTCGAAAACCACTACTGGCACCGCATTCCTGGGCGAGCGACTGATGGGCGACTCATGGGCAAACACACGATGCCCCTGCCATCTAGGAGGGGAACCCGTTTACTTCAAGTCTTTATCCGTGTATCTCGTGCATCCATGAAACGACTGCCTAAAGTTCTGAAAGGTAGCCGCTCTTCACCCACTCATCTGCTGCGCACTCGAGAACACCGATATTCCATGATCAGGACAGTTCAAGCGGAAACGCCTTTTGAAAAGGGCCACCCGTCGCCCTCCGTTGCGGAACTGCTGCAGACTTGGGAACCAACGCACCAGGTGCTAAACAACATAAGATCCCATTTCACATCATGTTCCTTCCGGACGTGTAGCTGCTGCAAGCTTTTAAGAAGGTGACTGGCGCGGAGGCGTACACCGATTGGAAAGACCTGCCGTCTATCCCTGTACCGATTGCAAAACTTTGTGTGGCGAGCGTGGGCGGAACTTAGGAAATCCGCATGTTGAGAACAGGTCACCATCACTACGTGTAGTCCGTGTAGTTTTTGCACACGTGCAAGACGGATGTCGAGACTCGAAGGCGAGGTCTGATGAACGACGGATGTCTACTTTGTGAAAAGTCAAGCTGCAATATCACACATTGCTAAGAAACCTCAGACAAAACGCCTGGACCCCCCTACCGACGTGCCTGGTGGTGCGACGAGGATGGATCATTCAGGCGTGGAGGGAGGCGGGAAACGAGGCGAAAGAGCCCGAGGAAAGAGGAGGGAGGTGAGGAAGGCATGAGGAAGAGGAGCGAGGCGGAGGAGTACGGACGAGGTGGGGGGAGGGGGCGGGGCGGGGCAGCAGCAGGAGGACGAGCGACAAGGAGGAGGAGGAGGAGGAGGGACGAGATGGGGGAAGGGGGCGGGGGCGAGGAGCTGGCAAGAACGAGGCAGGGCAACTCGCGGGCGTCCTCGAGAGGCCCGCGATCTTGCCGTCCCTGCCGCCAGCGGCCCTGGGCCTACCCCGCCCGGGTCTTTTCGAGTGGTTGAGCTGGACCTCCAGAGGGGCAGCTCCTCCTGCTCCTCCTCATCCTCCTCCCCCATCCTCCAAAGTGACTCATGATGTACCACCTCCTCCTCCTCCTCCTCCTCCTCCTCCTCTTCCTCCTTCTCCTCCTCCTCACGCAATCCTCCTCATTCACAGCTCCTCCTGCTCCCTCCCTGGTCCTCATCCTCGTCCTCCTCCTCCTGCTCCTCCTCCTCCTCCTCCTCTTCCTCCGTCTCTTTTGCGCCTCCATTCCTCTTCCTTAAGAATACTTTCGCCCTGTCGTACCCCGAGGCCAGATTTTAGGGCGGGCCGGGTGTTTCGCTTGAGACATCCTCACCATCTATGATTCTGGTGCATAAAAACTGGCAACAGCTTCGCACATGGAGGGCGGGTGGTTTTCAAAATGTGGCTCTCGCCTTAGCGCGGCGGACATTCGTTTTAACAATTTGCAAGAGTTCTAAGGGTTGAGGGCGGATCGTTTCCAAAGTGCGGCTCTCGCCTTAGCGCGGCGCGCACCCGTTCTTAAACAGTTGCAAGAGCTTCACGTATTGAGGGCGGTTCCTTTACAACATGTGGCTCTCGCTTGAGCGCGGCGCATATTCGTTTTTAACAATGTGCAAGAGTTTCACGGATTGGGGGCTCTCGATTTAGCGCGGCGCACATTCGTTTTCGAAAGTTGCAAGAGCTTCACGGCTTGAGGGCGGTTCCTTTTCAAACTGTGGCTCTCGATTTAGCGCGGCGCACATCCGTTTTCAAAAATTGCAAGAGTTTCACGTGTTCCCATCATCAGCGTGCCAGACACGGTATATTGAAAGGATTCAGGTGCAACAACTATGTTGAAACGGTATTATGCGGGTGTAACAATTATAGTGTTTCGCTGTGTTGAGGTCCCAAGAATGGCGTTCTGGCACGATTCAGGACTGTCAAGGCGCAAAAGTCAGGTTGATCCGTGGCGTTGGAATCCCAAGCAATGTTTTTGCATGCTTCAGGCTCTTCGAACGGTCGTCTTCCAACGAGGCAGTTCCCTCAATAGAAACAAACCGTTGCAGGGGCCGATGAAGAGGGAGCTTGCAGGGAGGGTCTATTCACACATCGTTGATGACTCTTGGGTTTACACTGGTCCTCCTCCTTCTCGTCCTCTTCTTCCTCCTCCTCCGCCTTCTCATTCACTCTTCCTCCTTCTTCTCCTCCTCATCCTCCTTATTCACTCCTCCTCCTCCTCCTCCTCCTCCTCCTCCTCCTCCTCCTCCTCCTCCTCCTCCTCCTCCCTCCTCGGCCTACCCATCCTCCCTCCTCCTTCTCCTGCTCCTCCTGCTCCACCTGCTCCTCCTCCTCCTCCTCCTGATTCACTCCTCCTCCGCCTCCTCCTCCGCCTCCTCCTCCTCACTGACCCCTCCTCGTTCACGACTCCTCCTGCTCCCTCCCTGGTCCTCCTCCTCCTCTTCCTCTTCCTTCTCCTCCTCCTCTTCCTCCTCTCCGCCTCCTCTCCACCTTCACTTTCGCGCCTCCTCCCCTCGCCTCCTCCTCCTCCTCGTCCTCCTCCTCCTCCTCTCCTCGTCTCCTCCTCCTCCTCCTCCTCCTCCTCCTCCTCCTCCTCCTCCTCCTGTCTGCCCCTCCTGTCTGCCCCTCCTGTCCGGCGGAGGGCGGGACCGCGCGCGCCCGCGGGGGGGGGGGCGGCAGGACTGTGGGCTGGCGACGGTTCAGCTGCGAGAGCTCGCCTCGCAGAGGCGCGGCGCCGCTGCCGGGGCAGAGGGAGGGGCAGCTGCGGGGTATCGGGATGCGGCGTGCAACGTCGTCGGGGCGGGGCGGGAGTTCCTCCCCTCTCCCCTCTGAGCAGGAACCTGCGCCAATGCTGTCTCGGGGCCCCGAACGCGCATCGAAGCGAATTTATCAGTTGGCTCGAGTCCAGTAGATGGCGAAATGCTTTTCAGCAAGGCCGAGAAGCTCGCACGTAAGTGCTCGTAGTAGTTTCCAAGTCGCATTGCGGTTGTTCTCACTCACTCACTCCTCCCCCTCTCCCTCTCCCTCTCCCTCCTCCTCCTCCTCCTCCTCCTCCTCCTCCTCCTCCTCTAATCCCTCCTCCTCCTCTTCTTTCCTCATCCTATCCCTCCTCCTCCTGCCCCTCCTCCTCTTCTTTCCTCCTCCTCCTCCTCCTCCTCCTCTTCCTCCTCTAATCCCTCCTTCTGTTGCAACTCCTCCTCCTCCTCCTCCTCCTCCTCCTTCTTCTCCTGCTCCTCCTGCTCCTCCTCCTGCTCCTCCTGCTCCTCTTCCTCCTCCCCCCCCTCCTCGCATTCATACTCATTTTCCATCCCGCCACCAAGCTCCTTGCCGTCCTCCTACTGCCTTCTTCTGGTCCTCCCCTTCCTGCTCCTCCTCTTCCTCATCATCATCAACAGCATCAACATCATCACCATCACCATCACCATCATCATCATCATCATCATCATCATCATCATCATCATCATCATCATCATCATCATAATCATCATCATCATCACCATCACCATCACCATCACCATCATTATCATTATCATCATCATCATCATCATCATCATCATCATCATCATCATCATCATCTTCAGCATCATCATCATCATCAACGCCAGCACCACCACCACCGCCACCACCACCACCACCATCAGCATCATCATAATTAGAAGCATCATCACCATCATCATCATCATCATCAGCATCATCATCACCGTCATCGTCATAATAATAATAATCATCATCAGCAGCATCATCATCATCAATCCTTTTCATTATTATCCTACCCCGCTTCTGATTCCTCCTCCTCCACCTCACCACCAATACCAGGCTTCTCCTCCTCCCTTCCCATGCCCCTCCTCCTTTTCCTCCGTCTCCTCCTCCTCCTCCTCCTCCTCCTCCACCGCCTCCTCCTCCTCCTCCTCCTCCTCCTCCTCCTCCTCCCTCCTCCTCCGACTCCTGGTGTGCTTCAAGTGGCTTGCAGGCCGGTTCCTACCCACGCCCCGACGTGCCGCCCGAGGTCCGCCATGGCCAGACACCCTCCCACCTGCGAATTACGTCTCACCTCCCTGCCTGTCCTGATGGGCCTGTTTTCCACAACCACCATAAGTTGGCGGGGGAGGGGGTCCTCCTCCTCCTCCTCCTGCTCCTCCTGCTCCTCTTCGTCCTCCTCCTCCTCCTCCTCGTCCTCCTCCTCCTCGTCCTCCTCCTCCTCGTCCTCCTCCTCCTCCTCCTCCCCCCCCCCATCCAACTTATGGTGGTGGTGGTGGTGGTGGTGGAAAACAGGCCCATCATGTCCCTTGCGACCTCGTCCAGAGCCTTCTTGGCATAGGAACGAGCGTAAGCAGCGAAACGACGCTCGAGCTCTCCTAAGACCCAAAATGGATGAGGATCAGAGGCGGGGATGGGTGAGGACGAATGAAGAGGGATGGCGCGATGGCAAGGATATCGTACGAAGCAGCATAGCACCTCAAGCAAGATCTGCACCCAACTTCGATAGTCCAAACGAACGAACAGCCCAACCACAACGTCCGAGCCACCAATCGGTAGTTCACATCCACCAAATATCTGCCCAGCCCAAAAAGTTACCCTTCCACCTTCTGCACAAGGGCCCACCAGGCCCAACGGGATCATGAGATACGACGGCGGCGGCAAGCGCAACACAGCAACAGAGAAGGCGGGGAGACTGCGATTCCCCAAGGCACTCTGCGGAGCGTGGGCGGACTTTTTTGAGGTTTTTCGCTTTCAGCGAGCGAGCCAGCGACGCAAACGTTCAGAACCACGGGAAGCGCAGACACGCGCGGAGAGCGACTTGGGAGGCAGATGCGATATCAGGATGTGGGAGGCAGCTTGCAACTCCGGCGCACCCGTGGAAAAAGAGAGAGAGAGAGAGGGAAGAACTCCCGTGGCCTGCGAGAGTCACCGGTCCCCGCTGGCCTGCTGCAAGTGGGGGCGAAAGCAGATCAGGGCGGCAGGAGGCGGGAGCAATGGAATGGCACTCTTTTGGTCGGCGGCAACTCGTCTCAAGACGCGTTCAAGAAAGCAGCGGCATGCAGTGGCAGACGAATCAGCACTAGTACTGCTACGACGACGACGACGACGACGACGACGACGACGACGACGACGACGACTACTACTACTGCTACTGCTACTACTACTACGACTACGACTACGGCTACTACTACTACTACTACTACTACTACTACTACTACTACTACTACGACTACGACAACGACTACTACTACTACTAC